GATGGTCTTGATCTCCTGAACTCATGATCTGCCCGCCTTGGCCTCTCAAAGTGCTAGGATTACAGGTGTGAGCCACTGCACCCAGCCTGACTCCAGAGCTTTTACCTGAGCACCTGGATATGTGGTGGCACCATTTCCTGAGCTGAAGAACACTGGGGAATTGAATGGGTCAGTGCTGATACATGGATAGAAAAGACTGCCCAATTTACATCTAGGACTGAAAATAGCTCCCATCTGGACTGCTTCTGGGCCTGGGTGCCCTCAGATCCATTCCAGCCCTTCTCCTGCTCTATCCTGGATCCCAGTGGGCCTGAGCCTCAGTTATACTCCCTCAGTTCCTATGTCAGTTGGCTTTGGCTGGGTTTAGCCAATAGGAGGCTGGCAGTTGACTAGAGGGTGAGAAGGGAAAAGCCAGGGTACTCTCTCCTCCTTCTGCCTTGGTAGCAACTCCAGTCTTCAGCAGTGGCTGCATCTCTTCCGTGGCTCCAGTTCCATATGTGTTCCAGATCTGTTGTGACTTCAGGTTCCAGCAGTTGACCTCAACCCCTGGATTCTGGTGACATCACTTCCTCCCTTAACCTTTCAGCCCAGGAGTGGCAGCAGCTTCCTGCTCTAGCTAGCCTCTTGATTCCATTGCTTACCCAACAAAATCTCCCCACTAAATTTCTCTGTTATAAATATATAAAGTCAGGCTGGGTGCAGTGGCTCATGCCTGTAATCCCAGCGAGGTGGCTCACACCTGTAATCCCAGCATTTTAGGGGCCGAAGCAGGCAGATCACCTGAGATAAGGGTTCGAGACCAACTTGACCAACATGGCGAAATCCTGTCTCTACTAAAAAAATACAAAAGTTAGCCAGGTGTGGTGGCATATACCTGTAATCCCAGCTACTTGGGAGGCTGAGGCAGGAGAATTGCTTGAACCCGGGAGGGGAGGTGGAGGTTACAGTGAGCCGAGATCACACTATTGCACTCCAGCCTGGGTGACAGAACAGGACTCTGTCTAGAAAAAAAAAGTGTAATTTCTGTTTTCTGGGTTGCCCCTAACCGTGGGACTATAGGCTGAGGCCTCTGTGAAATCCTGCAGGCTCAGGTGAGGAGCAAACACCTTGCACAACTGCACCTAGTGCAGACTCCCAGGCTCCATAGTGTTTACCATCCCTTCAGCCTTGGGATTTGCTCATTCCTGACCTCTGTGCTGTGTCCCTCTGTTTGTCTATACGTGGTTTTTACGAATCCTTAGCAGCCTCCTTCAAATCCTAGCTAAGAAACTCTAGCCTCCTTAAGCCTTTCGGCCATGACTCACCTGTCCCACCTCCTGCCTGATGCTTTTCAGATCCCACTTTGCTTAATGTGCCCTTGCTGAAATGCTGCTTGGCTGTTGCGTCCTGTGTCTGACCTCTGTGCTTTGCAGACCATCTCCTCTACCGTGGCTCACAACTCCCTTCTCTGACTCCTATCAGCCTTCAAAACCTACTTTCAGTGTCACATCTGGGAAGTAAGTTGTTTCTGGCAGGTTTCCTCCCCAGACTGAGATGCACACTCCTACATTCATGCTGCCATTATAGTTCTTGTGGACACTGCAATAATTTTGTGTGTGTTGGCCTCTTGCATAAAACTGCCAGTTCCGGCCGGGTGTGGTGGCTCACACCTGTAATCCCAACACTTTGGGAGGCTGAGGCGGGTGGATCATGAGGTCAGGAGTTCGAGACAAACCTGGCCAATATGGTGAAACCCCATCTTTACCGAAAATACAAAAATTAGCTCGGCATGGTGGCACATGCCTGTAGTCCCAGTTGCGTAGGAGGCTGAGACAGGAGAATCGCTTGAACCTGGGAGGCGGAGGTTGCAGTGAGCCAAGATCACACCACTGCACTCCAGCCTGGGCGACAGAACAAGGCTCCATCTCAAAAACAAAAACAAAAACAAAAAAATCCTGCCAGTTCCTTGGAGGCAGGAGCTAAGTCACAAACTCTGGTCTGGGCCCTAGGGGTTTTCAATAACTATTGAATGCTAGCTGCTGGATACATGGATGACCGTCAGTTTTCAATTACTGCAAGCAAGTGCCTTAGGTCTTCTTAGTTTGGCTAAAGCCTCTTTGGGGTGATTCTTAATTCTTCTTCTTTTTAAAATTATTTTGAGACGGAATCTTGCTCTGTTGCCCAGGCTGGAATGCAGTGGCAGGATCTCAGCTCACTGCTACCTCTGCCTGCCAAGTTTAAGTGATTCTCCGACCTCAGCCTCCTGGGTAGCTGGGATTATAGGTGCCCATCACCATGCCCGGCTAATTTGTACTTTGAGTAGAGATGGGGTTTTACTATGTTGGCCAGGCTGGTCACAGTCTGAGGCAGGAGAATCGCTTGAACCCGGAAGGCAGAGGTTGCAGTGAGCTGAGATCGTGCCACTGCACTCCAGCCTGGCGACAGAGTGGGAATCCATCTCGGGGAAAAAAAAAGTCACAGATTGTTTATTTCCCTCTACCTTCTTTTTGTTCTTTCTTTTTTTAAAGGTTTCTTTTTTATGGCCGGGCGCGGTGGCTCAAGCCTGTAATCCCAGCACTTTGGGAGGCCGAGGCGGGTGGATCACGAGGTCAAGAGATCGAGACCATCCTGGTCAACATGGTGAAACCCCGTCTCTACTAAAAAAATACAAAAATTCAGCTGGGCATGGTGGCGTGTGCCTGTAATCCCAGCTACTCAGGAGGCTGAGGCAGGAGAATTGCCTGAACCCAGGAGGCGGAGGTTGCGGTGTGCCGAGATCGCGCCATTGCACTCCAGCCTGGGTAACATGAGTGAAACTCCGTCTCAAAAAAAAAAAAAAAAAAAAAAAAGGTTTCTTTTTTATTTGTTTGTTTATTTATTTAATAGAGATGAGGGTCTCACTATGCTGACCAGGCTGGTCTTGAATTCCTGGCCTCAAATGATCTTCATGCCTCAGCCTCCCAAAGTGCTAGGATTACCAGCATGAGCCACCAGGCCTGGCTTTTTTTTTTTTTTTTTTTTAAAGCTTTTATCTCTCTTAAATTTATTTAGTTTTACTTATTTTTATATTAGCTTACTTTGTATAATGAAATAATTTCAAATGTAGAGAAAAAATTGCAATAGTATCAAAGAACTCCAATATATCCTTAACCTGGAGTCCCCAAATATTAACACTTGCCCAATTTGCACTGTCACTTCTTCTCTCCCATGTATTTGCATATATATTACTATGTCTAGATATTATATACATTTATTACATGTACACAGTATGTATGTTGGGATATGTACACATGTGTGTATTATATGTGGGTGGATATATATCTATACACACATATACTATCTTTCTTGAACCATCTGGGAGTAAAGTTGTAGATATGGTGCCCTTCTATTTCTTGAACTCATGACTTCAGGTGATCTGCCCACCTCAGCCTCCCAAAGTACTGGGATTACAGGCCTGAACCAGCACGCCTGCCAATGCCCTCTAAGTGGAATCGTTTCCTTGTGCATTTCCTAAGACCATGGTCATTTCTCATACAACAAAAGTACAGCTCTTGCTGGGCACGGTGGCTCGCGCCTATAATCCCTGCACTTTGGAAGACCGAGGTGGGTGGATCACGAGGTCAGGAGATCAAGACCATCCTGGCTAACACAGTGAAACCCTGTCTCTATTAAAGATACAAAAAAAAAAAAAAAGAGCCCTGTGTGGTGGCACGTGCCCGTAGTCCCAGCTACTTGGGAGGCTGAGGCAGGAAAATTGATTGAACACAGGAGGCAGAGATTGCAGTGAGCTGAGATTGCGCTAAGGCACTCCAGCCCGAGCGATAGTGTGAGACTCTGTCTCAAAAAAAAAAAAAGAAAGAAAGTAAAGGAATAAAGAATGGCTACTGAAGACACTGAACCTCACATGACATTCTCCTGCTCACTAATTTCTCACATATAAATAAGTAAATCTTTATCATCATAAAAGTCTCTATCTAAAAAGCACTGGGCCAGGCATGGTGGCTCATGTCTGTAATCCCAGCACTTTGAGAGGCTGAGGCAGGAGAATCACTTGAACCCGGGAGGTGGAGGTTGCAGTGAGCCAAGATTACGCCACTGCACTCCAGCCTAGAAGACAGAGCGAGACTCCGTCTCAAAAAAAAAGTACAGTTCTCCAAGTCAGGAAATTAAGTGCTGCTATAATACCATTATCTAATCCATTGTCCCAAATTTGTCCTTTTTAGACAAATCTGTTTCTCCCTTCCCAGGATCCAATCCATGATCAATCACATGCTACATTCAGTCAAGTCTCTTCAGTTTCCTTTCATCTGTGGCAGTTCTCCAGCCTTCCTTTTTCTTTCAGGACCCTGACTTTTTTAAAAAAAATTAATTTTTATTTTTCTTTTATTTTTTTAAGGGTGGTATGGCCATAGATAATTTTATTATTTATTTATTTATGTATTTGTTTTTTTGAGACGGAGTTTCGCTCTTGTTACCCAGGCTGGAGTGCAATGGCATGATCTCAGCTCACCGCAACCTCCGCCTCCTGGGTTCAGGCAATTCTCCTGCCTCAGCCTCCTGAGTAGCTGGGATTACAGGCACGCGCCACCATGCCCAGCTAATGTTTTGTATTTTTAGTAGAGACGGGGTTTCACCATGTTGACCAGGATGGTCTCGATCTCTTGACCTCGTGATCCACCCGCCTCGGCCTCCCAAAGTGCTAGGATTACAGGCTTGAGCCACCACGCCTGGCTAATTTTATTTTATTTTTAAGATGGAGTCTCACTCTGTCTCCCAGGCTGGAGTGCAATGGTGCGATCTCAGTTCACTGCAAGCTCCACCTCCTGGGTTCTAAGTGATTTTCCTGCCTCAGCCTCCAAAGTAGCTGGGATTATAGGTGCGTGGGACCACACCCAGATAATTTTGTATTTTTAGTAGAGATGGGGTTTCACCATGTTGGCCAGCCTGGTCTTGAACTCCGGACCTCAGGTGATCCACCTGCCTCAGTCTTCCAAAGTGGTGGGATGACAGGCGTCAGCCACCTCGCCCGGCCAGGACCATGACATTTTTGAAGCAGCTGGGCCAGTCATTTTGTTTCCTCCCAGGTCTAAAAATGCACCCCCTAAGATTTTACCTCTCACCACGTTGTTACCAAACTCTTCTCTTCCAGACTTAGGGGAGGGACTCTTTGCAGGGCCTTGTAAAACCTTAAATAAACTACACGAACAAATTCCACTTTGACCACTATCTTGTTAAAATTCCTTAAAAAAGTTAACTCATTGGGCCCAAAGTACGTTAACAAAAGCCAGGCTGTGCTTCTCCTAGTAGTCACTCTTCCTCAAAGGGTTTTATGTGCTGTTTAATGATTTTTCACAAATAGTTTTTCTTGCCCTTAAAGTTGGATTAATTGAATTTTAATTCAGCAGGATCACTCTCTAAAAAAAGAAACACTGACTATGCAGGTCGAGTTGGGGCCACTAGACTTAATTACGGCCTTTTTCAAGCAGAAGGGATTCTGAGGGCTGAAAAATGCAGCCGTATGGCACCCTAAACTCACCTCTATTTTAGATCAAAAATTTAAAAGCTCCTTTTCCTTCCCAGCAAAGGAAAACCTAATTGGCCTAAGAAAGGAAACCCACCACTTCAGCTTTCTTTCTTTTTTTTTTTTTTTCTTATTTCATTTAAGCTTTCTCTGGCATGAGCTCCTCACTCCAATTTGATTCTTATACCTTTGACTCAGTGGACCCGAGAGCGCTTCACTGTGCCCCAGGCCCCCCATTAGCTCCGTTTTCTTCCATTTTTTACTGATCTTTTCAGAACTTCACTCTCATTCAAAACAAAACACAGAAAAAAAACTCAGCTATTAAAAACCTGGTTAAAATTTCCAAAAGAGCCGGGTGCGGTGGCTCAAGCCTACTCAAAAAAAAAAAAAAAAAAAAAGAAAAAAGATTCAACAGAAACAGATACACATGGTGAAACTGAGGCCAAACTTCAAGAGAAAAGGCCTAGACTTTTCTTTTGGAAATTTTGTTTTAATTTTGATTTTTATTTATTTATTTATTTATTTTTTGAGACGGAGTTTCACTCTTGTTACCCAGGCTGGAGTGCAATGGCCCAATCTCGGCTCACTGCAACCTCCGCCTCCTGGGTTCAGGCAATTCTCCTGCCTCAGCCTCCTGAGTAGCTGGGATTACAGGCACGCACCACCATGCCCAGCTAATTTTTTATATTTTTAGTAGAGACGGAGTTTCACCATGTTGACCAGGATGGTCTCGATCTCTTGACCTCGTGATCCACCCGCCTCAGCCTCCCAAAGTGCTGGGATTACGGGTGCCCACCACGATACCCAGCTAATTTTTGTATTTTTAGTAGAGACGAGGTTTCACCATGTTGGCTAGGTTGGTCTCAAACTCCTGACCTCAAGTGATCCACTTGCCTTGGCCTCCCAAAGTGCTGGGATTATAGGTGTGAGCCACCGTGCCCGCCTGTTCTATGAATTTTACTGCATGAATCAGTGAAGGAGGGACCACAGCTTGTCATTTCCTCCAAGAATCCTACTCTCTATTTTCATGATTAGTCTAGCCTGGATTGTAGTAAAAAATGATAGATGATAGATAGATGATAGATGATAGATAGATAGATAGATAGATAGATAGATAAGAAAACCCATACTCAGGGTTCTATAGAGCATCAATCACACTGTAAGTTGAAGGGACAATTGTGATAGCAATACTGGGTTCCACAACAGCTGCCCCACTTCTGGAGCCTGTGAAGGGCTGACAGGCCAACTGAGGAGCTGCATATGACTTCAGGTTTTTGATCCATGAAACAAACCACTCTTAAGATTTTCAAGGTTTTTCACATTTCTTATGAAAAGCCAGAAGGAAGAAAAAGCCTATTTTCCCCCCATTCTGGGAAAGAAGGCCTGGAAACTTCAGGGAATCCAGGGAAGATAGGCCAGGGAAGGTCCCCTCTTACCCACTCCTTACACCTGTGGCAGCTGCCATCCCTGATGGACTGGATTTTCACAGGCAAAAAATGTGAAACCTCAGGAATCACTCTGACAACAGCAGAGGCTGTTTACCGTGTAGCCTTGGCTAAGGAAACTATTTTCCTTACCACTGCCCTGCAAAGTCGGCATTACTCTCATTTTACAGGTGTGGAAGCTGAAGGTCAGAGGCCAAGAAGCCTATGCTCACACAGCCAGGGAGTAGCAGAGCTGGCATTAGGAGTGTCTAATCCCAATGCCCAAGACTTTTCTGTGCACCAATCCTGCTTCCTTTCCAAGTCTGCAGAAGAGGTCTGGATATAGGATCTCTACATGGCATTGATGGTAGCTCCTGCATTTACTTAATGTATTTAACTTTCACTGATCTAGTGTATACTTACTGGGTCCTAGGGGCTGTTTCTTGAGCTATACAAATACAGTCTCATTTAAGCTTCATTAACCCGTCTGTGAGGTCTGTATCATTATCATCCTGTTTTACAAATAAGGAAATTGGCTGGGCACATTGGCTCATGCCTGTAATCCTGGCACTTTGGGAGGCTGAGGCAGGCAGATTGCCTGATCTGGGGAGTTTGAGACCACCCTGGACAACATGACGAAAGCCTGTTTCTACTAAAAATACAAAAATTAGCTGGGTGTGGTGATGCACACCTGTAATTCCAGCTACTTGTGAGGCTGAAGCAGGAGAATCACTTGAACCTGGAAGGCAGAGGTTGTAGTGAGCTGAGATCGCGCCATTGCACTCCAGCCTGGGTATCAAGAGTGAAACTCCATCTCAAAAAATATATATAAATAAATGCCTGGTACAGTGGCTCACACCTGTAATCTCAGCACTTTGGGAGGCTGAGGGGAGTGATCACCTGAGTTCAGGAGTTTGAGACCAGCCTAGCCAACATGGTGAAACCTGCCTCTACTGAAAAGACAAACAGCTGGGCGTGGTAGGGCACACCTGTAATCCCAGTTACGCAGGAAGCACACCTGTAATCCCAGTTACGCAGGAGGCACACCTGTAATCCCAGTTACGCAGGAGAATCGTTTGAACCTGGGAGGTGGAGGTTACAGTGAGCCTAGATTGCGTCATTGCACTCCAGCCTGGGCAACAGAGCGAGACTCTGACCTGAGGCGATCTGCCCGCCTCAGCCTCCCAAAGTGCTGGCATTACCGGTGTGAGCCACCGTGCACAGCTATCCACCTTTTCTACATAATATTTTTCAAAATTAAAGTTTGGAGGAAAGTAAGGTGAATATTCAGAAATGCAATTCATTGTGCTTTGTAGAGAACTGATAGTAAATAAACAGGGAATAATCTTTCCCTAGCCCCAAAATAATACATGACACACACCATTCTGTACGTGGTATGGGGGCCGGATGTCACAACCGTGAAGGCCCTCCCATGGAAACGACAGAACCACTGGGGGATGAGAACTGAGACTTACCTGGCCTAACTCTAAGTGCAGACAGCTGGCTCCAGCACAAGAGACTTCCACAGTGTGACAGAACCCTTCCTTCCTTGCATTGATCTGGAACACGGCCCCTATTGTCCAGGCACTTGAAGCAGCCTCCTAACCCTTTGTATCTGCCCATCTGAAAGGACACCTCCTCCATGGAGCCTGTTTTGAATTATTGGGTCTTTGTCGTTGCCCTCAGTTTGGCTTGGGGCTCTTGAGCCTACGACTATGTGGTCACATCCTCTTGACGTCTGCCCTATACACTGGGCAAGGTATCTTGCCTAGAGCAGGCACCTGGATAGAGTTTAAAAATCTGATTGAGGCCGGCAGGGCACGGTGGCTCATGCTTGTAATCCCAGCGCTTTGGGAGGACGAGGCGGGCAGATCACCTGAGATCAGGAGTTCGAGACCAGCCTGGCCAACAGGGTGAAACCCCGTCTCTACTAAAAATACAAAAATCAAGTGGGTGTTACCGCATGCGCCTGTAATCCCAGCTACTCAGGAGGCTGAGGCGGGAGAATCGCTTGAACCCAGGAGGTGGGGGTTACAGTGAGCCAAGATCAAGCCACTGCACTCCAGTCTGGGCGACAGAGCGTCTCCAAAAACAACAACGAAAAATAAGGGAAAAAAAGGTATCGGCCCTTTCCCTTCACCCACAAATAAAGTAGGGAAACAAATAATTAAATACTGAGACATTAAAATTAACAAATAAAATGGGAAAATATAATTAAGGAAGTAAAATTAATAAAGTAAAACCATAAACCAAATAAAATATTGACGTGAAATAAATGAAATAAAGCAAAATAAAATGAAATAAATAAAAAGTAAAAGAAATAAAAAAATACATTAGGAAATAAGTCACATGAAATGGAGTTAAGGAAGCAGGCGCCGCGGTGGCAGGTGGAGACGTGCGGGTACCTGGCGGCCGGGCTTGGGCGTTTCCGCCGCGCTCCGGGCCCCGGATGTGGGCCCCAGCTGAGGCTCAGCTGAAGGGCCCCTGGGCCTGACAGCGTCCCCCGCCCTTCGGGGGCTCGCAGCGCCGACCGTGCCGCCGGTAGGTGGCGCTCTGCGTCCCGAGCCCCGCGCGGCGCCAGCGATAAAGTCAGTCCAGCGCCGCCGCGCCCGTCGCTCCGTCCGTCCGCGCATCTGCGCTCCCGACGCCTCTGCTGAGAGAGGGACCCCGGTGGCCCGTCAACCCTCCGGGTTGTGTCTCCTTCCGTAAAATGTGCGTGAATTACCCGTCCCCCTTCCGCCCCGCCACGTGCGGTCGCTCGGATGTCACTGAAGACGAACCACGTAGTGGGTAGTTTGGGGCCCCTGGTGTCACGCCAAACGCAGGGTACTCGCCGCGGGTCATCAGTGTGACGCTGGAGCGGGGCAGGCTCAGCCAACGCCGTGCCCTTCCTCGCTGGAACCGCGGTGGTTCCGGATAGCACAACTCGGCGTGTCCGTGTCCTAAGTGTGGAGTAAAAAATGTTCACCTGCCCGGCGCCTCAGGGGAAAGGCCGTCCATTCAGAAAGTAGCTATTTGTGGCTTTAGACGGGATGAAATAAATGACAGCACAGGACGTTTGCGGGCGGCCTCAGCCCGAGGACAGAAGTCCGCGGCCGGCGCGCTGGGGTGGGGGAGGGCCGCGGGTGGGGACTGGGACCCGGGACCGCTCACATGCAAATGCGGCGGGGACAATCCGGCCGGGCGCCTCTGCGCCTCCGGGAGGCCGAGGCGGGAACAAAGCTTTAGCAGTTTCTGCATGTGAAAGGCCCGCATTCCTGGGCGGGGAGGCCGCCGGGGCGCCGCCCCCCTCCCCATTCACACTCGGGACCACACAGAGCGCCTCTCGCGCCAAATGCTCCGAGGTTCGTTTCAGCTTTTCTTTTCACCCGAGCGGTGCATACGAAATGTAGATATTTCCCTAAACGCCGGCTTTGACATTTAATGCGATCCTAAGTAGTCTGAAATGTGGACGGGATTAGGAGGAGGCTGGGGGCCCACAGGGACACTTGGCCAAATCCCCCTAAATCCTCCAGGACAATTGTTTGTCACCACACGGATTCCTATTGCCCCAAATGAGGGGGCTAATGAACTTCGCTGCCTCCTCCCGTGGCAGCCCCACTCCCACCCCGGAGCCTGCATTTCTGCCCAGCCCTTCCCAGGAAGAAAGGAAGACGAATTTTTAAATTGCAGGCTTTCTTCATGGGTTTGGTTACTTTAGGCCGGGCCGAGTTGACTTGGAGGATTGACTTTGACCAGCAACTAACCCACCCGTCCCGGGCTACTGTTTAACTCTGACTCCATAAAGGCTCAGAGGTCAAGGATGCTGAGGCCCTGTGAACCTTGGGCTTATAATAGTCTTTCCCCACCTTGAAAGAAGTAGGCCCTGGGTGTCGTTGCCAGGCCTAGAAAGGACACATCACCAAAAATTCTGTTCAGCAGACTTTATTGTTCACCTAGAACAATCCACACACTGTATAATGCACGACCAGTCTTCGAAGGTACTTACAATCCAGGAGGGGCAAGAAAACGGTCGACAAAGAACATGTCACGAAAGCTACGTGCTTGCAGATTTGCCTAGTTACTATGGGGCTCAAACAAAAACGCTCCTGGGACCCGAGCATGCCCTCAGTAAGCATGTGTGAAATGAAGAGTGGGGGCATAAGAGGAAAACCCTCAGAGGAGGGCCATGGCCAGGATGTTGACACATTAAAACTGGACCGTGGAAAACTGTAGGCAGCAGAGGAGACTGAAGCAAAGGTCTGTGGGTAGAAAATGGGCGGGCGCAGTGGCTCACGCTGTAATCTCAGCACTTTGGGAGGCCAAGGTGGGTGGATCACATGAGGTCAAGAGTGCGAGACCAGCCTGACCAAAATGGAGGAAACCCTGTTTCAGAAAAAAAAAGAAAAAGAAAATGGGGACCCCTTTTAGGGGATGGCAGAGAATCCAGTTGGTGCAACAAACGGGGCATAAGGAAGGGATTAATAGCCAAACTGGGTATGGTGCCTCATGCCTGTAATTCCGGCACTTTGGGAGGCCCAGGTGGGAGGATCACTTGAGGCCAGGAGTTTGAGACCAGCCTGGGGAACTTAGTGAAACCTTGTCTCTACTTAAAAGATTAAAAATAAATAAATAAATAATAAATAAACAAACAAACAAAAGGCTAAGTGGGAAGGGCGGAAAGAGACCTTCAGGTATTCCTGAAGCCACCCCTAGGCAGAAGCCAAAGCTGTGCTGTGGGGAGTTACAGGCTGTGGTGAGGAAGAAAGAGTGAGAGAAGGAATCGGAGGCAAGGAGACCTGGGACCTCTTGTCACCACAAGATGAGATCCTGGCAAGGCAGGAAAGAATAGGATGAGAACACAGGATGCCGCTGTGTGTTGAGCAACAACGAACCCGACACCAGGCATATCAATAGTGCAGGAGGGCTGGGGGCAGTGACTTGCACTTGTAGTCCCAGCTACTGGGAGTCTGAGGTGGGAGGTTCGCTGGAGCCCAGGAGTTTGAGGCCAGCCTAGGCAACACAGTGAGACCCTGTTTCAAAAAACAAAAGTGAAGGCGGTGATGATTTACCTCGAGAAGTCCCCCTCCATTCCCCACTGTCCAGCCCCAGTACCTCTATTATATAATGTCAGTGGTTCAGGGAAGTCTTTTCTTTGATATCACTTTTACATGATATAGTGAAAATTATGGTGCTCCCTTTCAAACATTTGGAGTTCAAGGCATCTTCAGCAATAGTACAATGCACATGCCGTAAGTAAAACATCATTCTAGTCCTATGAATTAATACCCCTACTTTAGAGATGAAGAAACTCAGGCACAAAGAATTAAAGTAACTAGTTTCATATCAAATTTGTTTCAGTGAGAGAACCAAGATTTGAGGCCAAACAGTCTGGCTAGAGGGTCCATGACGTCATCAGTCGCTTTTCTCCAGGTGGTTTCCAAGAATAGGAAGGAGTGAGAGACTCACAGATGAAGGAAGTATAGAGGGAGACCGGGCTGGGCAGGCCCTTTCGGTAACAAGAGGGGTAAGTGACTCCCCTGTATTACGTGTTCACCAGACATACTTTGCATTCCTCATCTCATTTTAATCCTAGCACCAGGCCCTGGAGAAAGCATTTTACAAACTGTTCAAAAAGCCTCAAAAGAGATGAAGTCATTTGCTCAAAGTCACTTAGATTGGGTAAGGGCAAGGCTCTCAGAAAACTAGTCAGAAAAGGGACTACAAGAGGTGGCACTCTGATAGGAAAGAGGCGGTGGAGGGTGTATGGTAGCCACATGCAGGCAGATGGCAGTGCATTGGGTAAGGCCATGCAAGGTTGCCGGCCTGTGTTCCAATCAAGGGCATGGCTTCAACAGAGCTCTGTAGGGGGTCATATTAAGGGGGGTAAGGGCCAGAGGGCACAAGGGAAGGCTACTCCAGCTGTTCTGGGGGTTCATGCCATGCAGTTTTGGAGACACTTGCTGGGTCCGTGAAGAAATTAATGAGGTAGATTTTGTCCCCTATTGTAGATGATGCAGCTGAATGAGTGGTAGAGCTTGAACAGAGCTAATGGCTCTGAGAATTCAAAACCCCAGCAAAGGCCAGGCACAACGGCTCACACCTGTGATCCCAGCACTTTGGGAGGCTGAAGCAGGTGGCTCTTCAGCTCAGGAATTTGAGACCAGCCTGGGCAACATAATGAAAACTTGCTTCTATAAAAACTACAAAACTTAACTGGGCATGGTGGCTCCTGCCTGTAGTCTCAGCTACTTGGGAGGCTGAGGTGGGAGGATCACTTGAGCCCCAGAGGTCCAGGCTGCACTGAGCCTTGATGGAGCCACTGCACCATTTGCCTGTGTGACAAAGCAAGACCATATCTCAAAAAACAAAACCAGCCAAGCTCGGTGGCTCACGCCTGTAATCCCAGCACTTTGGGAGGCTGAGGCGGGTAGATCACGAGGTCAGGAGATCAAGACCAGCCTGGCCAACATGGTGAAACCCCATCTCTACTAAAAATACAAACATTAGCCAGGCGTCGTCGTGGGCACCTGTAATCTCAGCTACTCAGGAGGCTGAGGCAGGAGAATCGCTTGAACCCGGGAGGCAGAGGTTGCAGTGAGCCAAGATGGCACCACTGCACTCCAGCCTGGGCGACAGAGCGAGCCTCCCTCTCAAAAAAACAAAACCAAAGAACAAAAACCCCAGCAAATAAGTTACCATCTTTTGAGGCTGATGCCAATAGTGTCACACCTGTTAAATTCCAGAAAACCATATACCACAGAAGAAACTGTGTGTACCAGGGAAGATACAAAGGGGAAAGAAACTGGCAACAGCCGGGAAAAACTTTAGAAAGTGACATTTAAAGCCTTTTTTTTTTTAGACAGTCTTGTCTTGTTGCCCAGGCTGGAGTATAGTGTGGCACGATCCTGGCTCACTGGAACCTCTACCTCCCAGGTTCAAACAATTCTCCTGCCTCAGCCTTCCGAGTAGCTGGGATTATAGGCACCCACCACCACACCCAGTTAATTTTTATATATTAGTAGAGACAGGGGTTTGGCCATGTTGGCCAGGCTAGTCTCGAACTCCTGACCTCAAGTGATCCACCCACCTCAGCCTCCCAAAGTATTGAGATTACAGGTGTAAAAAACCACACCCAGCCAAAAGCCATTTGTATAGATAGGGTTGTTACTGGAAAGGGGTCCTGATCTAGACCCCAAGGGAATTCAGAAAGAATTCAGCGCAAGTCCTTAAAGTGAAAGCAAGTTTATTAAGAAAGTAAAGGAATTGGTAGCCTGAAGTGAGCGGATCACGAGGTCAAGAGATTGAGACCATCCTGGCCAACATGGTGAAACCCTGTCTCCACTAAAAACACAAAAAAATCAGCTGGGTGTGGTGGCGCACTCCTGTAGTAGCAGCTACTCGGGAGGCTGAGGCAGGAGAATTGCTTGAACCCAAGGAGGCAGAGACTGCAGAGAGCTGAGATTGCGCCACTGCACTACAGCCTGAGCAACAGTGCAGGACTCTTGTCTCAAAAAAAAAAAAAAAAAAAAGGAGGCCGGGCGCGGTGGCTCACGCCTGTAATCCCAGCACTTTGGGAGGCCGAGGCGGGTGGATCACAAGGTCAAGAGATCGAGACCATCCTGGTTAACATGGTGAAACCCCGTCTCTACTAAAAATACAAAAAATTAGCTGGGCATGGTGGCGCGTGCCTGTAATCCCAGCTACTCAGGAGGCTGAGGCAGGAGAATTGCTTGAACCCAGGAGGCGGAGGTTGCGGTGAGCCGAGATCGTGCCATTGCACTCCAGCCTGGGTAACAAGAGTGAAACTCCGTCCCAAAAGAAAAAAAAAAAAAAAAAAAAAGGAATAAAGAATGGCCACTACATAGGGAGAGCGGCCCAATGGCTGCTGGTTGCCCATTTTTATGGTTATTTCTTGATGATGTGCTAAACAAAGGGTGTATTATTCATGCTTCCTGTTTTTAGACCAATAGGGTAACTTCCCCATGCTGTCATGGCATTTATAAACTGTCTTGGCACTGGTGGGAGTGTAGCAGTGAGGACGACCAGAGGCTATTCTCATCGCCATCTTGGTTTTGTTGGGTCTTAGCCGGCTTCTTTACTGCAATCTGTTTTATCAGCAAGGTCTTTATGACCTGTATCTTGTGCTGGTCACAGACTCTTGAGCTCAGGCAATCCTCCTGCCTCAGCCTCCCAAAGTGCAGGGATTACAGGCGTGAGCCACCACGTGGCAGATGTATTTTTTTCTGAAGTACAATTATAGGCCTTTTCCTACTTCATACTGCCAAGATGATGTAAGTTCCTGGAAGTTTATGACGTCTGTGGGCTCATTCTCCAGAAAATGCCCAGACTAAGCAATTCTGCGCATTTGAGTGGGTCTCACAGTAGTGTTGTCAGTCTGGAGCATGGGAAAGCAGAGACTGCAGACTTAAACCAACAGCAGTGCAGATTAAGGGTCTTACTTTCCTTTCATCTAGAAGGGGCTTTAAGAGGCCCAAGGAAGTGAGTCTACGTCTGCTTTCTATATCCACCTGGAAAGATCTACTCTGTGTATAAAACAACTGCAATGTGGCAATCAGTCAATGGAGCCCCTCCGTACATCTATCCATGTTTAAGAAGAGGAGGAGATTTTCTCCTTTGAGTCTGTTGGCTATGCCTATCTAAATCACAAATACTCAGTTCCAATATATATCATACCTGAGTTCTGTTTCTTGTCAGCAATAGAATAATTCAGGTAGGCCGGGCACAGTGGCCCACACCTGTAATCCCAGCACTTTGGGAGGCTAAGGTGGGCGGATTACTTGAAGTTGGGAGTTTGAGACCAATCTGACCTACATGAAGAAACCCTGTCTCTACTAAAAATACAAAATTAGCCGGGCATGGTGGTGCATGCCTATAATCCCAGCTATTTAGGAGGCTGAGGCAGGAGAACTGCTTGAACCCGGGAGGCGGAGGTTGCAGTAAACCGAGATTGTGCCATTGCAATCCAGCCTGGGCAACAAGAGCGAAACCCTGTCTCTATAAAAAAATAAAAATACCGGCTGGGTGCGGTGGCTCACACCTGTAATCCCAGCACTTTGGGAGGCCGAGGCGGGTAGATAAGGAGGTCAAGAGATCGAGACCATCCTGGTCAACATGGTGAAACCCCGTCTCTACTAAAAATACAAAAAATTAGCTGGGCATGGTGGCGCATGCCTGTAATCCCAGCTACTCGGGAGGCTGAGGCAGGAGAATTGCCTGAACCCAGGAGGCGGAGGTTGCGGTAAGCCGAGATCGCACCATTGCACTCCAGCCTGGGTAACAAGAGCCAAACTCCGTCTCAAAGAAAAAAAAAAAAAAGACACACCTAAAAAAAAAGGAGTAATTCAGCTAAAGTTTCAGATAAATTCGTGCTTATCTACACACTTACCTCTTGCCTCGCTAGTTCTGAAACTGAGGTAACATGTAGATTCAGTTAGTGTGCCTCCAAACTAGGGAAGTGAAGAGTATGACGTTAAGGGATACTCCTAAATGGCAAGCTTCCATGAATCTACCAAACACCATCTTGACTAGGGGGACACCCAATTTACTAGAGCAAATCTGCATTGTCTTTGTTTGAGATAGAGTTTCACTCTGTCATTCAGACTGGAGTGCTGTGGTGCCATCATAGCTCACCGCAGCCTTGAATTCCTAGGCTCAAGCAATCCTCCCACCTCAGCCTATGGAATAGCTAGCACTACTGGCATGGGCCACAATGTCCAGCTTTTAAAAATGTTGGTGAGGCGTGGTGGCTCACGTCTGTAATCCCAGCACTTTGGAAGGCTGAGGCAGGTGGATCATGAGGTCAAGAGTTTGAGACCAGCCTGGCCTGACCAACATGGTGAAACCTCACCTCTACTAAAAATACAAAAATTAGCTGGGCATGGTGGCAGACGCCAAACACGTCAACTTGCTCTCCCTCCCCTTCACCCTTAAGTCATCTTCTGGATTGGCTATTTGTCTATTGCTGATGTTCTTTTTTGTCAATTTTAAACATTAACACAAAACTTCAGATGCTAAAATACTCTAATAGTTCCAAGAAAAGACTATAAAGCCTTCTGATAAAATCATGTTTTAATTGCCTGTGGCATATATTACATAATGGCTCAAAGTTAATAGTCTGGCTGAAATTAAAGAGAAACAGCTGATGATGACTTAGTAAATCCTTAATTTTAAGTAAGCTTTTGGCAAAAAGTCAGGGGTAGAACCGTCTCAAAATTAACAGCCTTCACCATCTTTTATTCATTCTGCTGTGATACAACTAAAATAGCCAGTAAATACTCCCCTGGGTCTCAGGTAACAGTTTTCCAAATGCAAAGTATCACTTTCTCTGCACAGTGGTGAAAGCCGGCATTTGGATGGGCTGGATCGGGTGGACAGGCTGAAACACTGGCTTCTTTCTCACTTCAGAGTGTGTTTTCACTGCAGGGAGCAGCTGATTCCTTTTGATGATCTGTAAGGCCAGCTGAGTATTACCTATAAAAACACTTCCCATTAAAAAACAGAGCACACAACGCAATACCACCACACACAAAGCAAGCCATGAGAATCCTGCTAGGGAGGTAAAAGATGATCTAGAAGAGCCGTCATCTGCAGCCTTGGCTGTACACTGGAATCCCATAAAGCCTCCATCTCATCCTCAGAAATTCCAATTTAAGTGATATAGGGTATGGCCTGGGCAACGGAATTTTTAAAAGCTTCCCAGTGATTCTGGGAAGGTACAGGCCAGTTAGAGAACTTATAATAGGTGAGCTGTATAAAAGAAACAATCAGCTGGGAGTGATGCCTCATGCCTGTAACCCTAGCACTTTGGGAAGCCGAGGGGGGTAGATCACCCGAGCTCAGGATTTTGAGGCTAGCTGCTTGGGTAACACAGCTAACCCCCCGCCACTCGCTGCCTGCCCCCACCCTGCCCCGTCTTGTGGGACTGAGGCAGGAGGACTGCTTGAACCTGGGAGGCCAAGGCTACAGTGAACCGAGATCACACCACTACACTCTAGCCTGGGTGACAAAGTGAGACCCTGTCTCAAAATAAACAAAAACCAATGAAACAATCTTGGGCAATGAACTAATCCTAATCACATCTTTAGGAGGCTAAGGGTGGCTGGGTGCCAGGCACTTAAGACCTCTTCTTCAGCTACTAAAAAAAGGGGAGCCTTGTAAGAGTTCCCAAGGTCAACAAGGAGGTATGCCTTAGAACACTACTTTTTTGTGTGTGTGTGTTTTGAGACAGTGTTGTTCTGTTGCCCATGCTGGAGTGCAGTGGGGTGATCATGGCTCACTGCAACCTCCACCTCCCAGGTTCAAGCGATTCTCCTGCCTCAGCCTCCAGAGTAGCTGGGATTAAAGGCACAAGCCACTGTGACCAGCCTTTTTAATTTTTTTTTTTTTTTTAAAGAGACAGGGTCTCACTATGTTGCCCTGGCTGGAGTGCTGTTCACAGGAGCAATTACTGTACACTACTGCCTTGGACATTTGGCCTTAAGCAATGCTCTCGCCTCAGCCACCAGAGTAGCTAGGACTCCATGCCTGGCTGTGACTTAGAACTGTCAGCATTTCTGTCCCCTCTAATCTCTCTCAATCATATCTCTTTTCTACTTCATGCTGTCTCATATTTAGGGCCAACAGCCTTTCTTCTAGTGAGATACATACATCTTAGAGATTGTATATGCCCTAGAGGCATGACCTGAATTTATGTTTGAATAAATAATTCTCAGCAAGAATTGGCTTACTGTAAAACTTGTTAATGTCTGTGTTCAAAATACTAAAGTGTACAACCTGAAGCAACTGCATTCTAACTCAGGTTCTCAATTAGTCATTTAGTTGCCTAGGAGAATGGTTAATAGGGATTAATTATAATTAAGTGTCAGAAGTTAAAATTCTGTACTTTATAAAATAAGCTTAACCCGTAAGGAGTAATTGTAGGATACCAAAAACTCCCTAACGATAGATATAGATATTTATTATTGTATATATATTTTTTATTTTCATTTTTTGGAGGTGGAGTTTTGCTCTTCTTGCCCAGGCTGGAGTGCAATGGCATGATCACGGCTCACCACAACCTCTGCCTCCCAGGTTCAAGTGATTCTCCTGCCTTGGCCTCCCGAGTAGCTGGGAGTACAGGCATGCACCACCACGCTGGGCTAATTTTGTATTTTTAGTAGAGATGGGGTTTCTCCGTGTTGGTCAGGTTGGTCTCAAGCTCTCGACCTCAGGTGATCTGCCCGCCTCAGCCTCCCAAAGTGCTGAGACTACAGGCGTGAGCCACTGCGCTGGCCTATTATTGGTTTTTTAGACAAGGTCTCATTCTAGCATGATCTCAGCTCACTGCAGCCTTGACCTCCAGGGCTCAAGTGATCCTCCCATTTCAGCCTTCCAGGTAGCTGGAACTACAGGTGCACACCACCACACCCAGCTAATTTTTTTTTTTTTTTTTTGAGACGGAGTGTAGCTCTGTTGCCCAGGCTGGAGTACAGTGGTGTGATCTCAGCTCACTGCAACCTCCACCTCCTGGGTTCAAGCAATTCTCTTGCCTTAGCCTCCTGAGTAGCTGGGATTACAGGCACCCGCCACCATGCCCAGCTAATTTTTGTATTTTTAGCAGAGACGGGTTTCACTGTATTGGCCAGGTTGGTGTCGAACCCTTGACCTCATGATCTGCCCACCTCAGCCTCCCAAATTGCTTGGATTACAAGCGGGAGCCACTGAAGCCAGCCTAATTTTTGTATTTTTTGTAGAGACAGGGTTTTGCCATGTTGCCCAGGCTGGTCTTGAACTCCTGGACTATGGCAATCAGCCCACCTCAGCCTCCCAAAGTGCTGGGATTATAGGCATGTACCACTGCGCCCAGTTCCTAACTATATTTTTATGTAGAAGAATTTGATGGGTCAGCCACGCTGGCTCAAGCCTGTAATCCCAGCACTTTGAGAGGCCAGGGTGGGAGGATCATCTGAGGTCAGGAATTCAAGACTAGCCTGGCCAACATGGTGAAACCTCTCTAAAAACAGAAAAATTAACCAGGCATGGTGGCAGGTGCTTGTAATTCCAGCTACTTGAGAAGCTGAGACAGGAGAATCTCTTGAACCTTGAATCTGGGAGGTGGAGGTTGCAGTGAGCTGAGACTGTGCCACTGCACTCTAGCATGGGTGACAGAGCGAGACTCCATCTCAAAAAAAATTTGATGGGTCATATCTTCAAGGAAGGCAAAGTTTTGACTCTGAAGAAAAAAAACAGACATTAAAAATCTTAGGATTGGCTGAGAATGATAGCTTATATCTGCAATCCTGGCTACGAGGGAGGCTAAGATGGGAGGACTGCATGAGCCCATGAGTTTGAGAACAGCCTGGGCAACAAAGTGAGACCCCATCTCTACAAAAAATTTAAGGAATTAGTTGGGCTCAGTGGCGTATACCTGTAGTCCCAGCTACTCTGGAGGCTGAGGTGGGAAGACTGCTTGAAACCAGGAGTTTGGAAGCTGCAGAGAGCTCTAATTCTGCCACTGCCCTCCAACCTGGGCAACACAGTGAGACTCTGTTTCCCAACAAAAAAATCTTGGCTCTTAGAAGGGATACGGTCTTAACCAGAGAGAATTACTCACCATTCTGCAGTTCAAGGTAGACTGCCAGCAAGATGGCCTCAGGGGGCACCTCTTTAGGATGGATCATTGAAGCCGCCTTTGCTCAAAACAGAAAGACACCCATGAAAAACGAACAGCTTAAGATATACACTCCAAGTACACCTGCCAACCAACAACGAGGCAACAAACTTATTCAAGCCCATTCCCGCATGACTTCCTAGGGACTACCTGTTGTTCTGCTGTGATGAGCCTCAGCTCCCTTTGTCTTCAAACCTGCCAATTAAGCTAGACATGTAATACTCTGAATTTTGAGATGGGTGACTGGACACCCCTGATATTATACTCTAGTTAGCCGTCCAGGTCTGCTGGTGGCTCTTCACAACAGACACAGACAGTTACATTTACAAAATCTGTGTGCCCATTTGTTTTCCTAAGTAACATCTCAGTAAACTGTTAAGTTGTCAATATCAGGAATAAGAATTCAAACTTAAATAGCAATACAGAAAAATGTACCACATGGTATGTTTGATGTCCCCATTCTTAAGGACTGAAACAGTACAATTTAGTCCAATAAAATAATCTGCTAGTTTAGGCAACATGCTGCCCCTAGATCTGGGTAGGAGCCAGCAGTTTCTCTCAGTCCTGAGTAAAGGAAGCCTGGACTGCTTTGGACAAAAGTGCTGAAATTACAGGTTTATTTTCTCAGTCTGGGCCTCTTTGGGCTACAGGAAAATATTCCGCACTTTATTATCAACTTGTATTTCCCCATCTAGTTTTAGTTGCTCATTGCTTCCAGACTGCTCTGCCTCTTCCCTTAATCCAATCAGATAACGGACTTCTACAAATGCTTATTGGCCAGAGGTGGGTATGGAGATAGACAGGAACTTCCCCTGATAATAAACGAGCATGCAAATAACTAACAATAATCCAAACAAAGTTACCTAAATGCCAGGGAGAAAGGCCAGTGAATGTGCTGTGAATATGGAGAGAAAGAAAGAAGTTTCTTTCAAATAGAGCTTTGGGGTAAGGGAGGCCTGTTTCAGTCCTTGCAACGTAGATACTGCATAGGCAGAACATGGGGAGAAATGGTACTGAAGGTAGAAGCTTAAATGTGGGAGATGTTGGGAAGGACCAGAAATGTGCACTAGGTTGGTTTCTGGCAGCATTAGGAGAAATCCCAGACTAGTGAGGAGTCTTGCCCAGAGCATGTACTTCTAAGAAGTTCCTCATGAATG